GTCTTTTTACTCTGCTGATTGTTACTTTTGCTGTGCAGAAGCTTTTTAGTTTAATTAATCTCATTTTTTTATCTTTGTTTTTGTTGCATTTGATTTTCTTGGGTTCTTGGTCAAGAAGTCTTTGCCTAAGCCAATATCTAGAAAGATTTTTCCAATGTTATCTTCTAGAATTTTTATGATTTCAGGTCTTAGATTTAAGTATTTAATCCATCTTGAGTTGATTTTTGTATATATAAAGATGAGGATCCAGTTTTATTCTTCTACATGTGGCTTGCCAATTATCCCAGCACCATTTGTTGAATAGGGCGTCCTTTTCCCACTATATGTTTTTGTTTACTTTGTCGAAGATCAGTTGACTGTAAGTATTTGGCTTTATTTCTAGGTTCTCTATTCTGTTCGATTGGTCTATATGCCTATTTTTATACCAGTACCATGCTGTTTTGGTGACTATGGCCTTATAGTATAGTTTGAAATCAGGTAATATGATGCTTCCAGATTTGTTCTTTTTGCTTAGTCTTCCTTTGACTATGCGGGCTATTTTTGGTTCCATATGAATTTTAGGGTTGTTTTTTCTAATTCTGTGAAGAATTATGGCAGTATTTTGATGGGCATTGCATTGAATTTATAGACTGCTTTTGGTAGTATGGTCATTTTCACAATACTGATTCTACCAGTCCATGAGCACAGGATGTTTCCATTTGTTTGTGTTGTCTGTGATTTCTTTCAGCAGTGTTTTGTAGTTTTCTTTGTAGAGGTCTTTCATCTCCTTGGTTAAGTATATTCGTAAGTGTTGTATTTCTTTTGAATCTATTGTAAAAGGGGTTGGGTTCTGGATTTGAATGTCAGCTTGGTCACTATTGGTATGTAGCAGGGCTACTGATTTGTGTACATTAATATTGTACCCTGAACCTGCTGAATTTATTACCAGTTCTAGAAGCTTTTTGGATGAGTCTTTAGGGTTTTCTATAATAGTTATACAGTCATGTCATCAGCAAAGAGTGACAGTTTGACTTCCTCATTATCAACTTGGATGCCCTTTATTTCTTTCTCTTGGCTGATTGCTCTGGCTAGGACTTTCAGTACCATGTTGAATAGGAGTGGTGAAAGTGGGCATCCTTGTCTTGTTCCAGCTCTCAGGGGGAAATGCTTTCAACTTTTCCACATTCAGTATAACGTTGGCTGTCAGTTTGTCATAGACGACTTTTATTACCTTAAGGTATGGCCTTTCTATACTGATTTTGCTGAGGGTTTTAATCATAAAGTGATACTGGATTTTGTTAAATGCTTTTACTGCATCTATTGAGATGATCAAGTGATTTTTGTTTTTAGTTCTGTTTATGTGGTGTATCACATTTATTGACTTGTGTATGTGAAACCATCCGTGGATCCCTGGTATGAAACCCACTTGATCATGGTGGATTATCTTTTTGGTATGTTGTTGGGTTCTGTTAGCTAGCATTTTGTTGAGGATTTTTGCATCTATATTCACCAGGAAAATTGGTCTGTAGTTTTCTTTCTTGTGTGATATATTTTCCTGGTTTTGGTATTAGGGCAATAGTGGCTTCATAGCATGATTTAAGGAAGATTTCCCCCTTTCTCTGTCTTTTGGAATAGTGTTAATAGGACTGGTACCAATTCTTTGCATGTCTGATAGAATTCAGCTGTGAACCCATCTAGTCTTGGACTTTTATTGTTTGGGGTAATTACCATTTCAATCTCACTGCTTGTTATTGGTCTGTTCAGAGTTTCTATTTCTTCCTGGTTTAATGTAGGAGTGTTGTATATTTCCAGGAAATTATCCATCTCCTCTAGGTTTTCTAGTTTATGCATGTAAAGGCATTGAATGATCTTTTGTATTTCTGTGGTATCAGTTGTAATATCTTCCATTTCTTTTCTAATTGAACTTATTTGGATCTTCTCTCTTCTTTTCTTGGTTAATCTCACTAATGGTCTACCAGTTTTACTTATCTTTTCAAAGAACCAGCTTTTTGTTTTATTTATTTTTTGTATATAAATATACATATTTAATTTAATTTAGTTCTGCTCTGATCTTGGTTATTTCTTTTCTAATGCTGAGTTTGTGTTTGCTTTGTTCTTGTTTCTCTAGTTCCTTGAGGTGTAACCTTAGATTGTCTTTCGTGCTCTTTCAGACTTTTTAGTGTAGACATTTAATGCTATGAACTTTCCTCTTGGCACCGCATTTTCGGTATCCCAGAGGTTTTGATAGGTTGTGTCACAATTATCACTCAGTTCAAAAAATTGTTTAATTTCCATCTTGATTTTACTGTTGACCCAACAATCATTCAGGAGCAGGTTATTTCATTTCCACATATTTGCTTGGTTTTGATGGTTCCTTTTGGAGTTGATTCCAATTTTATTCCACTGCAGCCTGAGAGAGTACTGGATATAATTTTGATTTTCTTAAATTTGTTGAGACTTGTTTTGTGGCCTATCATATGGTCTATCTTGGAGAAAGTTCCATGCAATGATGAATAGAATGTATATTCTGGGGTTGTTGGGTAGAACAATAACAATGTTCTGTAAATATCTGTGAAGTCCATTTATTGTATAGTTTAAATCCATTGTTGCCTTGTTGACTTTTTGTCTTGATGACCTGTCTAGTGCTGTCAGTGGAGTACTGAGGTCCCCCACTATTATTGTGTTGCTGTCTATCTCATTTCTTAGGTCTAGTAGTAATTGTTTGATAAATGTGGGAGCTCTAGTGTGAGATGCATATATATTTAGGATTGTGATATTTTCCTGTTGGACTAGTCCTTTTATCATTATACAATATTCCTCTTTTTCTTTTTTAACTGCTGTTGTTTTAAAGTTTGTTTTGTCTAATACAAGAATAGCTATTCCTGCTCACTTTTGGTGTCCATTTGCATGGAATATCTTTTTCTGCCCCTTTACCTTAAGTTTATGTGAGTCCTTATGTGGTTGGCGAGTTATTATCCATTCTGCTATTCTGTGTCTTTTAAGTGGAGCATTTAGGCTATTTACATTCATCATTAGTATTGAGATGTAAGGTACTATTCTATACATCATGCTATTTGTTATCTGAATACCTTACTGTTTTTCCATTATGTTATGGTTTTATACGTCCTGTGAGATTTATTATTTAAGGAGATCCTATTTTGGTGTATTTCAATCATTTCTTTCAAGATTTAGAGCTCCTTTTAACAGTTCTTACAGTGCTGGCTTGGTAGTGGCAAATTCTCTCAGCATTTGTTTGTCTGAAAAAGACTGTATCTTTCCTTCATTTATGAAGCTTAATTTTGCTGGATACAAAATTTTGTCTGCAATTGTTTTGTTTAAGGAGGCTAAAGATAGGACTCTAATCCCTTCTAGCTTGTAGGGTTTCTGCTGAGAAATCTGCTGTCAATCTGATAAGTTTTCCTTAAAAGATTACCTGATGCTTTTGTTTCATAGCTCTTAAGATTCTTTCCTTCATCTTGGCTTTAGATAACCTGATGACTGTGTGCCTAGGTGATGATCTTTTTGCAATAAATTTGCCAGGTGTTCCAGGTGTTTGAGCTTCTTGTATTTGAATATCTAGATCTCTAGCAAGACCAGGGAATTTTCCTTGATTATTCCCTTAAATATGTTTTCCAAACTTTTAGATTTCTCTTCTTCCTTGGGAACACCAATTATTTGTAGGTTTAGTCCTTTAACATAATCCCAGACCTCTTGGAGGCTCTGTTCATTTTTTTTTTTTTTTAATTCTTCTTTCTTTGTCTGTCAGATTGGTTTAATTTGAAAGCCTTGTCTTTAAGCTCTGAAGTTCTTTCTTCTACTAGTTTGAGTCTGTTGCTGAGACTTTCCAGTGCATTTTACATTGTTCTAAGTGTGTCCTTGATTTCCAGAAATTGTGGTTGTTTTTTATTTATGCTATTTCACTGGAGATTTTTCCATTAATATCTTGTATCTTTTTTTTTATTTCCTTAAGTTGGACTTCACCTTTCTCTGGTGTCTCCTTGATTGGCTTACTAATCAACCTTCTGAATTCTTTTTCTGGCAATTCAGAGATTTTGTCTTGGTTTGGATTCATTGCTGGTGAGCTAGTGTGATCTTTTGGGGGCGGTAAAAAACCTCGTTTTGTCATATTACCAGAATTGCTTGTCTGGTTCCTTCTCATTTGGTTAGACTATCCCAGAGGGAAGATCTAGGACTCAGATCTGCTGTTCAGGTTCTTTTGTCTAATGGGTGCTCCCTTGATGTGAGGCTCTCCCCCTTCCCCTAGGAATGCGGCTTCCTGAGAGCCAGGCTGCAGTGATTGTTATTGCTCTTCTTGATTTAGCCACCCAGCAGAGCTACTGGGCTCCAGGTTGGTACTGGGGAGTGTCCGCAAGGAGTCCTGTGATGTGATCCATCTTCAGGCTTCTCAGCCATGGATACCAGCACCTACTCCAGAAGTAGCAGCGGAATGAAGAAGACTAGTGAGGGTCCTTGCTTGTGTTTTTGTTTAGTACACTGGTTTTGTGTACGTTGGCCTCCAGCCAGGAGGTAGCACTTTCAAGAGTGCATCAGCTGTGGTTGTATAGGGAGGTTATAAGCTTGCCCTAGAGTCAGGCAGTGGGTGGAGTCATAGAGCTCCCAAGAGAGTATGTCCTTTGTCTTCCCTACCAGGGAAAGTAGTAAAAGGCCATCAGATGGGGGCAGGGTTAGGCGTGTCTAAGCTCAGACTCTTCTTGGCCAGGGCTTGCTGCAGCTGCTGTGGGGGATGGGGGTCTGGTTCCCAGGCCAATGGAGTTATGCTCCCAGGGGGATTAATTCTGTCTCTGATGCATTATGCACACAGGTTGCCAGAGAAGTTGGGGAATGCCAGCAGCCACAGGCCTCACCCAGCTTCCAGGCAGCCTACAGCCATAAAGGCCAGTCTCATTCCCACTGTGCCCCTCCCCCAACAGCACCAGGTTTATTTCCAGGCAGCCAGTGAGCAGGGCTGAGAACTTGTCACAAGTAACAAGCCTCCCAGCTAAGAAAGCAAGCTGACTCACAGTTCCTCGGCTGTCCCACAGAGCCTGCAGCGGCAATCCACCTCCTTCAAAGGGTCTGTGGATTCTCTGGACTTTCTTGGTATGTTCCTGTGGTGGTTCTTGGAGTAAAAGTTCACAGTGTGGGTCTCTGCATGCTGTTCTGTCCATCTGAGTAGGAGCTGCAAGTTAGTCCGGCCTCCTATCCACCATTTTCTGCTTATCTCTTTATTCAAATATTTTCAATCCATGGTTGGTTGAGTCCGAGGATGTGCAATCTGAGAACAGGAAGGGCCAAGACTAACCAAAATACTCAGGATCCCCAAGCAGGATAAATAATAAATAAATATCCATATATAAAAATACCATAATGAAGCCATGGAACACAAAAGACATAGAAGATCTTTAAAGCAACTAGAGAGAAAAGACAAATTACCTCCAAAGAAAAAACAATGGACTTACATACAGTTGGTTACCTAAAAGCAACAATGTAAACGAGAAGACAGCAAAAGGATATCTTTCATATGCTGGGGGAGAAAACTTGCAAAATAAAGGTATTTTAAAAGAAACATCAATAGATCCTCACTAAACAAATTTCTAAAGTATGTACTTTAGAGAGAAGAAAGATCACTGATCAAGGGCTTGAGAGTCAAGCAGAACTAATAAGCAAAAGAACTTGTAGATTATTGGCAAAATCTAAGCAAACATTGATCGTATTTAACATAAAGCTACACAATAACAATGTATCGAAGAGATTTCTGCACTCCCATATTCATTGCAGCATTATTCACAATAGCCAAGATATGGAACCAACCTAAACTTTCATACAAAAAAATTGTACTTAATATAAAGCTACAACAATAACAATGTATTGAAGAGATTTCTGCACTCTCATATTCATGGCAGCATTATTCACAATAGCCAAGATATGGAACCAGCCTAAATTTCCATCAAGGATAAACGAATAAAGAAAATGTCATATATATATACACAATGGAATATTATTTAGCCTTAAAATAGAAGGAAATCCTGTCATCTGCAACAACATGGATGATCCTGGAGGATGTTATGTTAAATGAAATAAGACAGATACAGAAAAACAAATAACATATGATCTCACATATTTGTGAAATCTAAAAATGTTGAATTCATAGAAATATAGAGCAGCATGGGGGTTACTAGGAGATGTAGGGATGGGGCAGGGCCTGGGGAGAAGCTGGTCAAAGGATGCAAAATTTCAGTTAGAGAGGAGAAGTGAACTCAAGAGGTCTGTTGTATCTGGTGACTATAGTTAATAACTATAGTTATTGAAATAATTCTATTGTATGCTTGCAAATTGCTAAGAGTAGACTTTAAGTGTTCTCTGGCCTATTCTGTTGGGTGGGTTCTTGGCCCACAAGAGCTGGACAGGCAGGTGATCAAGCCACATTGGGCATGCTGAGGGCCTCCATGGGCACTCACTAGGGCTCTGGCCAGAAGACCTGAGTGATGCTCTGCTTCCTGCAGGCAGTGTTGCAGGCTGGGCACGTCCTAGAGGCCCCATTCAGACGCTGTATGCGCGTGGGGAGGTCCGGGGGACTGCTTTGGCCGCTGCTGGCCTCTGTCTAAGGAAGGATGAGATCTTGCTCTGGGTCTTCCCAGGCTTCTCACACCATGAGGGGTCTGATTGGGAAACCCCGTGGGTGAGCACCAGAGTGTGGCAAGACTCTTCTCTTGGGGTACTGGCGGCTCCATGCCTGGGTAGGAGTGCCGGCTGGCCAGGTCTGTGCATGTCTGCAAGCAGTGCTGCTAGTGGTGTGGATGCACAAACATGCTGAACCTCTGCAGCAGGGGGAAGTCCTCAGGCTTTGCAATGGTCAGTGCAGCCAGTGCGGCCAGCATCTTGTCCAGGTCGTCATCCTGCTTGTAGGCTGTCAGTGCTGCCAAGAGCTGGCTATAGCCTATGGACCCCAGGGCCCTGCGGGCATCTGCCAGGTAAGCACTCACGGTGTGCTGGCCCTGCTTCCCTGCTCTGGGCGCTCTGGACCCCCACTGTGGGTACCTGCCAGGGTCTCCTGTGGGGGGTGACCTGGGGGACAGGTGGGATCTGCCCTGGTTCAGGTGCTCTCTGGGGTCCAGCTGCTGGGCCACAGCCTTGGACAGGGTCAGCTTGGGATCCGGTACTGTCCTTCCAGCAGGGTTCAGGGCTGGCTGTGCCCGCTGCCTTCGGGGCATGCTGTGCTCAGGTTGATAGCTGCAGCCTTGTCCTGTTAGCTGTATACAGACCTCCTCAAACTGCTGCTTGTGGTGGGGCCACACAAACTGGTAGAAGCCTTGGAGCAGGCTGTGCTTCTTGGGGTCGTCAGCAAAGAGGAGGCCAAGACAGGCCGCCACGGCAGCTAAGTCATCAGAACCCTTGTAGTCCTGTAGGACCTGGGTGAAGGTGGTGAAGTTGGCTTGGCTCAGCTCCTGCTTCACGGTCACCATGAAGAGCTTGGCCCTGTCTGCCTGTGCACCAGCCATGGGCTCCTCTGACTGGCTGACCAGCCGGATCTTCTTCCTCCTTCCTTGCGGCTCCTCTGCCAGCCTCTTAGATGGGAGGGACAGGGTGGAGCACCTGTGGGTTTGCTCCTCGCTAGGGCCCCCCAGCCCACCACCAGCAGCTGGTGACCCTGACGGCCTCTGCTTCAGGTTGAGGACGTGCAGGTCCAGACTCTTAGCTTTCCTGGTGGAAAGGAGAGGGCCAGGTGACTCAGCCACCCTGACAGCATCTTCTCCCTCACACAAACTGGGTGCTGCAGCCCGGGGTGCTGGTGCTGGCATAGTTCACTTAGCAACACAGAACTGGGCCATGACTTGGATGACATGGCCAAAGTTGTTGTATACCCTGACGTGGCAACACACCCAGGAGGGCAGCTGGGCTCTGGGGTCGGCAAAGGCGAACCTGTGGTCACAGAGGAAGACAGCCCCGTAGTTCTGGCAGTGTGGGATCACTCGCCCAATGGCCTGGTTCACAGCCCTGGATGCCTGCTGCCGGTACCACTCCTGCCCAGACAGGAACTGGCCCCCAGCCCCAACCTGGCCCTTCATCTCGTCCAGGAACTGCATCTTGAGGACAACCAGGGGTCCATGTGTGGGGGCTATGGGAGGCCCGTGACGATCACACCACAGCCATTATTGTCTGAGAAGTCCAGCCCCTCCCTGGCCTTTCCCTGGCATACCGCCAGTAAGATGGCGCTGGTAGACCCGGGGGAGGCAGTCCTCACTTAGTAAGCACTCATGGTCTCAGAGAAGCTGACTTTGCTCCTGGGCTCCACAAACAGAGGCTTCAGTGCCTCCTAGCCAAGACACGGGCCCGCCAGAACTCCAGGCTCTTTTCTATGATGGGATATGAAGGGAAGAAGATCAGGAGCCCATATGGCACCATGCGGGTGATGTTGCCCAGAGCCATCCCCAAGGAGGACAAGCACTCCTCGGAAAACCGTCTGTCAAATGCTGAGCTCAACTGGGCTCCGTCAGGGCCTCTGAGGACGATCCCCACCCAGATCTGGCGCTTGTCGATGATGTGTGGGTTCTCCAGGAAGACTGGAAAAGGGATCTACATCTCCAGGGCAATGGAGGATCCTGGGGCCAGCGTGCCACCAGTGAGGATGAGAAAGCAGACGCCCTGACGGACCAGCTTGCACATGGTGTGGCCAGGACTGAAGCACCAGTAGCTCAGCACCTTCCCTCGCTTTCTGGCTGCAGTGGTGCTCCAGGTATCAGATGGCTGAGCCACCCTCCGGTGATGGGCATCAGGATGGATGTGCACTTTATAGGTCCCCAGCCTTGCCAGGGGACCAGGGCCACCCTCAGAGGGGTCTACACTGAACATGATCTGGATGATATCCGCCAGCTTCTGCAGTCCGGTCTTGTTGGCGAACCCTCCAGCATGTCCTGCCAGGTGCTGGATGATCTGGTCCAGCGAGTCCAGGATGCAGCCATTGGTCTGTAACATGATCTGGGCTTCAGCAAACAGCTCAAAGATGTAGCTCCCAGGCTTGGTGACACCGCTGTCATCTCCAGCGAGCTCAACGGCATTGATGGCCTACTCCAGGCAGAGCAGGATCATCTTCAGCTTTGCAATGTCTTGCAGCTCCATGTTCAGCCCTGAGCTGGTGGGGTCCCACTGAGGCTGAGTGGGGCTCAGCCTGCTGTGCCGCCTTGATCTGCTCCTCTAGCACCTGGTCTATGATGTCCAGTCCCAAAGCTAGTTCATGGGGTGTCAGGTCAAAGGATGCCAATTCTTCACAGAGCTCCACGTTGTGAGTTTCATCAAAGATCAGGACTGTCCCCTTCAGGTCAATGTTGTGTGCTCTGTGCCTCTTGGCATCCAACAAGTAACTGTAGGGCATGAAGATGATGTCGGCTTGCTGCTTCAGGTTCCGGGACAGGTAATAACGGCATATTATTATACGCTTGTTTCCCCTCTTGACCAAGTCCTCGATGTCCAGGATGGGGCTGACCAGCTCCTGCTCCAGGCTTTTCCCTTCTACATTGTTGTAGAAATTACAGAGTGACTTGCCACCTTCTTGCGGCACAAGTGGATCTTCATGTGGTTACTCTTCTGCTTCTTCACCTCAGAGTGGATGCACAGCTGCTCCTGGGAGCCCAGCACACACACCTTAGGCCGGTAGGAGATGTTCCGAAGTTCGTTGATGACCTGTGTGAGTTGTAAGAGGGTCCTAAAGGCGTAAATGATCTTTGGGATGTCCATGTTACAAGCTATGGGGTCTCCAACAGCAGCAGCAGCACTGTCCCAGGATGACAAAGGCCCGATCTGCCAGAAGCTCCCCTTGCACCCTCTTGGCAATACTGCAGGTAAAGATGGTGTCTTGGGTGTTCTCACCAGGCCAGCGTGGTGCACAGGGGGCAGTGTCTTCCCTGTGTCGGTGGGGCTCTCCAGGATGCCATTCACCTTCTCCTGCAGACATTCCAGGACCTTGGTCATGTACTCCTGTTGGCATTTGTAGGGCTGGAAAGGGAAGTCTATGGTCACACCATTCAGGACTATCTTGGGCATATCAGCCTGTTCTCAGGAGGGCACAGAGTGTGGCTGACGGGCAGGCTATTCGGGTCGGTGCGAAAAAACTACTCCAAACAAGTCCGGGTCTCAACCACGCTGGATAATTGATGCGAGCATGCGCACTGGGACACAACGCTGTTCTCTTCTAGAATCCCTATGGAACAGGTTCCTCTCTTGTCTCTGCAGCGAGCCTTCCAGAACCGGAGGCCCTCAGAAACTCAACCGACTCCAGTC